GCCCCAACTTCTGCCAACTAAGCAGTTTGAAAACATGCAAATGTGAGTAGATAAATAGGTACTGTTCCAGCGGGAAGGTAAAGGTGCTCCATGTAGTCATGCTGGCCACATGACCTTGGAGGCATCTACAGACAATGCCGGCTTTTCGGCTTAGAAATGGAGATGACCACCAACGCCCAGAGTTGGATATGACTGGATTTTATGTCAGGGGAAACCCCTTATCTACCACGTCAAATAGTGCTGTTGTCCCACCAAACTACAAATGCTAGGATTCTATAGCATTGAGCCATGGCAGATAAAGTGGTATCAAAAAGTATTAATTGTACATGGGTAAAATTGGGGCCTTCAGGTGTTTTGGACTTAAGCTCCCACAATTCCTAACAGCCTCAGGCCTCTTCTTTATCCTTTTCCATAAACGACTGAGGGTGAAAAAGAAAGGACCTGGGGAATTGTGGGAGTTGAAGTCCAAAACACTTGAAGGGGGCCCCAAGTTGGCCCATTCCTGGAATAGATGTATCCTGGGAACACGGTCCCTCCAACAGCCCTAGAAATTTGTATGTGTATTGGAGTGTGTGTGATTACGACACCGATTCCCAGCATCTAAGCAGTAGGTATACTTAGGTGATCCCTCATTGTCCGAGTAGGATAGTCTTCCAGGATCAGTGTACTGGTGGTGGGTCCGCAGGTGGCTGTGGAGCCCTATTCTTGATTTGCATCTTCTCCCACAGTGGGGGCGTTGGTTTCCAGGTGGAAGGCGGTCCTGTCAGGGGTTGGCTTGACATACCTTCCTCTTGGCACATTTCTCTCTTTCGCCCTCCATTCATGCCTCTTGAAATTCTACAGCACTGCTGGTCACAGCTAACCTCCAGCTGGAGTGCTCAAGGGCCAGGGCTTCCCAGTTCTCTGTGTCTATGCCAGAGTTTTTAAGGTTGGCTTTGAGCTCATCTTTAAATCTCTTTTCCTGCCCACCAACCTTCTGTTTTCCATTCTTGAGTTCAGAGTAGAGCAACTGCTTGGGAGACGATGGTCGGGCATCCAGACAAAGTGGCCAGTCCAGTGGAGTTGATGGCGGAGGGCCATCGCTTCAGTGCTGGTGGTCTTTACTTCTTCCAGCAGGCTGACATTAGTCTGCTTGTCTTCCCAAAAGATTTGCAGGATTTTCCGAAGGCAATGCTGATGGAATCGTTCCAGGAGTTGCATGTGACATCTGTAGACAGTCCACGTTTCGCAGGCATATAGCAGGGTTGGTAGGACAATCTATATATATGTAAATGCTCTGTGCATAATGAGTACCTTAAAAACAAAACAAAAAAAACTACAGGGCCAAATGACCCCAAATTTGGCACCAAAACTCCTCACAATCCAAGGAATGACCATCATGGAAAAAAACCCACAAAACACCTTTAAATTCAAAAAAGGAAGAAAACAACACACCTCCCCTGCCCCCACACGCTGAGAACACAGAATGAGGGTTCCGAAGCATCAGGGGCGGCAATGGTTGCTGCTCTCTGTGTGTCTCTCAGCCCCTAACTAACATTAAGGCAAAGGATCAAAGGGCAGAGGCTGAGGAGAAGGAGGAGGGGGAGGAGAGAGAGGAAGGGAAGGAAAAAAGAGGAAGGCGGGCCACATTCTGTGCACACACTCTGACTCTCTGTCTCCCACATACACACTCCCACAGCAGAAGAGAAGGAGGAAGGTGCCATTATGGGGGTAATAGGAACACACGAAACTGACATTGCTTGGAAAGGAGCTCCAAAGACCATCCAGCCCAACATCATTTGGCAGTAAAGGAAGACACCATCAATGCCCTCACAACAGATGGCCAACCAGTTGGAAGGGAGCCCTAAAGGCCATCCAGTCCAACCCCCTCCTTCCCTCCCTCCCTCCCTCCCTCTCTTTCTCTACTTCCCTTCCTTCTCCTTACCTCCCTTCCTGCCTTTCTTTCCTTCCTTTTTCTCCTCCCCTCACCAGCTTCATCCTCCTTTATTAAATCTACAGTGTAGATGCACCCAAAGTCAACCCTTCCACACTGCCATGTAAAATCCAGATTATCTACTTAGAACTGGATTATATGGCAGTGTAGACGCACGCGTGCACACACATATGGATGGATGTTGGATCACTGGTTGGTATATATATATATATATATATATATATATATATATGATTATAATACTTTATATATTATATTATATATAATATTGTTATATATCTATATAAATAAAAATGTAATGTTTGCTTGTGGGATTAACATAACTCAAAAACCACTGGATGAACGGACACCAAATTTGGACACAATACACCTATCAGGCCAACGAGTGACCATTACTCATAAAAAAACTCTGAAAAACACAGCAGAAGAGACTTAAAAGGCCAAAAAAAATACATTACAATGCCATGTGCAAAACTACATATATAAATGCAAACACACACATATACACTTATACACAAATATATACACACACAATACACACACATATATACACACACAACACATATACACAGATTGGGCCACAGCAACGCGGGGCAGGGGACAGCTAGTACTATATAATATAATGTTACTACTATATATTACTATATTAAATAGACTCATAGACTTAGAAGGGACTCTACCATGGTATTGGGTAAGAACAGACAGGAAGGAAGGAGAGAAGAAAGGAGGAAGGGAAAAAGGGAAGGAATGATGGAGGGAAAGGGGGAAGGAAGGACAGAGAGACGAAGGGAGGGAAAGAAAAAGGGAAGGAAGGAGAGAAGGAAGGAAGGAAAGAGGTACTGAAGGAAGGAAGAAGAGAAAGTAGTAAGGAAAAAAAGGGAAGGGAAGAAAGGAGAGAGGTAAAGAAGAAAGGAAGGAGAAAAGGAAATAAAAAGTGAAAGAAGGATGGAAACAGGGAGGGAAGAAAGGAGACAAAGGAAGTAGTAGAGAAAGGGGGAGGAAAGGAAGAAAAGAGAGAAGGAAGGATGAAACCAAAGAGCAAAAGAAGGAATGAAAGAGGTAGAGAAGGAAGAAAGGAAAGGGGAAGGAATAGGTAGGTACTAGGGCTGGGCGGTTTCGTTCGTTAATTTCGTAATTTGTTATTAATTCGTATTTAAATTAGCTTACGATCCGATATTGAGCCATGCAGGAATAGTGTGAAGAGTAAATTAGATTCGAAACATTTTTTTCAATTTATTTCGTTATTGTTTTGTTATTATTTTGAAATTATTTCGTAATTTTTTCATAATTATTTCGTAATTATTTTCGCATGTCTGGTGCAAGTTTTATAGTTGTTTGTTTTATCACACCAACAGTCAACAACAGAGGGAGAGGGAAGCTTCAGAAGTTCCCTCTGTCCCATTTGGAGGTTTTTTTAGCATATTGCGCAATCGCGTCCGCCATTAATGAATTTATTTGAAATTAACGAAATTTTGTAAATAACGAAATTTTGAAATCTCAAAATTTTGGAAGTATTTAGAATTTGGAAACGCTAGCGCCCCCTGGAAACGAATCGAGTTTAGAAACTAATTTTTCCGTGATTACCCAGCCCTAGTAGGTACCTCTCTTTCATAACAGTCCAGATATCTACCTCTACTTGTAAAATTCTTACTATAGGCCACAGCAATGCGTGGCAGGGTACAGCTAGTAGCTTTATAGACAAGCACCTTGGTATCCCTATGGGTGTCCCGGTCCTCAAACACTCTCTGCTTCATTTGGAAAAAAGCTGCACTTGCAGAGCTCAGACGGTGTTGTATTTTGGTGTTATTGTTGACTTTGATGGAGAGGTGGCTGCCAAGGTATTGGAAATGGTCAACATTTTCTAATGTTATACCATTAAGCTGTATTTCTGGCATTGGAGAGGGATTGGCTGGTGCCTGCTGGAAGGGCACTTTGGCTTTCTCGATGTTCAATGGAAGAAAGCAGTGTGTGTGTGTTTGTGTATGTGGTTTTTTTCCCCCACGCTGCCTTCCCCATTTTGCAAAGTTACGTTACCGAGGAAGAGGCAAGCCCTGGGTTCCTGGGCATGCACTCTATTTGGTTTCCTTGCGGGGAAAGTGCGGAGGGAGGCTCGGCTGGGCTGGCTGCGCTTCCCTGCCTTCCCCTCCGCCTTCCCTATTATAGCCCCGCTTCCGGCGGCGTGGACCACTCTGACATCATCCCCCGCACCCCGGTGACGTCAGCGCCGGGAGCGGAGTGGGTGACGCCGGGTGCGTAGGGGAGCGTGGTGACGTCTCCTTACTTAAAGGTCCCCCGAGCGGAGGATGGAGGCAGAGGAAGCAGGTGCTGTGGAGTAGAGCGAGGCACAGAGAACGACAGACACAGAGAGAGAGGGGGAGCATTGAGCGGCGCAGCCTCTCGGGACCAGCAGGGCTCCCCTTCCAGCCTTAGCCCCTGCCTTTCCCCGCGGTGGGTGGGAGAGAGGGAGGAGGAGGAGGAGGAGGAGAAAACGGGCAGCTAGCTCCAGCCTCGCTGCCCCTGCCTCCCCTCCTTCCTTCCTCTCCCCGCGGTGGGAGAGGGGCGAGAAGCGGAGGGCAAGAGCCGGAGAGGAGCGGGAGAAGGCAGAGCCGAGCAAGGAAGGTGTGAAGAAGAGGAGGAGCAGGAGCAGGCGCCACGGGTTGACCCCGGGCTCTGCAAAGCGAGCGGGAAAGGCGCCTCCTCCTCCTCTGCCTGCGCCTCCGCCTTCCTCCTGCCCTCTCCGCAGCGGATTTGGCCCTTCTGCTGCTGCTGGTGGGGGTGCAGAGAAGGGCTCCTCAATCGGTGCCACTCCTCCTCCTCTCCTCCTCTTCTTCCCCTTCCCCCCTCTTATCCTCTTCCTTCTCTTCCTCCTCTCCCTTCTCTTCCTCCTCTTCTTCCTCCTCCTCACGTCCTCCTCCCCCTCTTGTCCTCTTCCTTCTCCTCCTCTTTCTCCTCTACCTCCCCTCCTCCTCTTCCTCCTTCTCTTCCTCCTTCTCCTTCTCTTCTTCCTCCCCTCCTTCTCTTCCTCCTCTTCCTCCTCTCCTCCTCCTCTTTCTCCCCTCCTCTTCGTCCTCCTCTTCCTCCTCCTCCTCCCTTTCTGCTGGGAATGATGAGTGTGCGCCTGCCTCCTTCCCCGTCCGAGCAGATGGCAGACCCACTGCGGGGACAGGCGTGAATGAAGCAGGCGACGCCGGGATAAGGAGCCGCCTCCTCCTCCTCCTTTTCCTCCTCCCCTTTTTCCTCCTCCTCCCCCAGTGTAGCCTTCCCCACTCGTCCCTCCATCCCTGGCGCAGGGGATGAGCGGCTAGTGCCTTGCAGCCGCCGCCGCTTCTCTCTTTTTTCCTCCTGGAGCCCGATGTCAGCGCCGGCGGAACGGCTTCCTTTTCCTCTTCCTCCCTCTGCTGCTGCTGCTGCTGCTCCTCCTGCTTGGGAAAATGAAGCGACACCCCCCATGCCGCTGCTGCTGGTGCTGGCGGGGGTGTTAGGAGGAGGAGGAGGAGGAAGAAGAAGAAGGGCGGCGCTGCGCACACCGCAAGCCCCCGGATCCCGCGCTGCGCCGGAGGAAAGGCGGCGGCGGTGGTGGAGGAGGAGAAGGAGCGCCGCTCGGGCTGCTCCCGGGCCAGAGGACTGACTGACTGCCTGGCTAGCTGGCTGGCTGACTGCTGGAGGCAGCATCTGGGCTGCTAATCCTCGCCGATAAGAAGAGAGAGAACGAGCGCGCCTCTCCTCCTCCTCCTTCTCCCCGCAGAAGGAGGGGATTTCTTCCTCCTCCTCTTCCTCCTCCTCCTCCTTGGCGAGGAGCTGGAGCTGCCCCTGGACCCCACGCTGCAGGACAAGGCAGGGGCAGCCCCGAGGCCATGCGGGAGAGGCTTCCCGGACTGGCTTCCTAGTAGGCACCGAAAGAGAGAGAGCGAGAGCCTTCCTTCCTTCTTTCCTTCCTTCTCCCCCTGGCTCCGCTCCCACATGCCTGTAGACTCTAGCGTTTGAAAAGCCTGCTTCCGAGGCGCGTGGGGCCACCTGGGTTTCGCGTGGGATCTATAGAGACAGACACACCACGGCAGAAGGCGAGAAGAGGAGTGTCTCCGCGTTTCTCACCGGACCATTGAGTGGGAAAAGGCCAGAGGAGGGGAAAAAACAGAAAGATCCTTGTAGGAATTATCCATCCAAAACACTCACAACGCTCGTCTCACTGGCCATCATGGGGTAAGGATTTCATCCTGGGATCGGGGAGTTTTGAGCCCAGCACGTCCTCTCTCTTTCCTTCCTCCCTTGCCGTGCTCGTCTTTGGAAGAAGGCAGGCCAGACCATTAAAGGGCGCCCAGGAGGAGGAAGGAGTATGGTTAAGTAGTGAAGCTATAGATTAACTTCAGAATGTCTCCCAGAATGTCTCTTGCTAGGCCAGCAGCACTGAGATATGTGACAGCACCAATGAATCCCATTTCCCATTAAGGTTTGGGCATGGCTAATCTTAAATACTACTGGATAGTTTGAACCACAAGCCAGAAAACATTTGGGTTGCTGTGAGTTTCCTCCAAACTGTATGCCCATATTCCAGAAGCATTCTCTCCTGACGTTTTGGCCAAATCTATGGCAGGTATCCTCATAGATTGTGAGGTATTTTGGAAACTAGGCAAGTGAGGTTTATATATCTGTGGAAGGTCCAGGGTGGGAGAAAGAACTCTTGTCTGCTTGAGGCAAGTGTGAATGTTGCAATTGGCCACCTTGACTAGCATTGAATGGCCTTACAGCTTCAAAGCCTGGCTGCTTCCTGTCTGGGGTTTATATATCTGTGGAATGTTCAGGGTGGGAGAAAGAACTCTTGCCTGTTGGAGGCAAGTGTGAATGTTGCATTTGGCCACCTTGACTAGCATTGAATGGTCTTACAGCTTCAAAGCCTGGTTGCTTCCTGCCTGGGCTTTATATATCTGTAGAATGATGTCCAGGGTGGGAGAAAGAACTCTTGTCTGTTTGAAGCAAGTGTGAATGTTGCATTTGGCCTTGACTAGCCATGAATGGCCTTACAGCTTCAAAGCCTGCCTGCTTCCTGTCTGGGGTTTATATATTTGTGGAAGGTCCAGGGTGGGAGAAAGAACTCATGTCTGTTTGAGGCAAGTGTGAATGTTGCATTTGGCTACCTTGATTAGCATTTAATGGCTTCACAGCTTCAAAGCCTGCCTGCTTCCTGCCTGGGGTTTATATATTTGTGGAAGATCCAGAGTGGATTCACCAGTATTGTTAATTAGCTTCAGAATATCTTCCTTCATGGCTAGGCCAATGTCTTGCACTGAGATATTTGACAACAGCAATGAATCACATTTCCCATTCAAATTTGGGCATGGCTAATGTTAAATACAACTGGATAGTTTGAACCATGAACTAGAAAACATTTGTTGCTTTAATGTGTTGTCAAAGGCTTTCATGGCCGGAATCACTGGGTTGCCTTGAGTTTTCTGGGCTGTATGGCCATGTTCCAGAAGCATTTTATCCTGACATTTTGTCCATATCTTTGGCAGGCTTCCTCAGAGGTTGTGAGGTTTGTTGGAAACTAGGCAAGTGGGGTTTATATATCTGTGGAAGGCCCAGAGTGGATTCACCAGTATTGTTAACTGGTGAATCTATAGATTAGCTTCAGAATATTTTCACATCTATGGCAATCATCCTCAGAGGTTGAGGGGTCTATTGAAAATTAGGCAAGTGAGGTTTATATATCTGCAGAATGTTCAAAGTGGGAGAAAGAACTCTTGTGTGCTTGAGGCAAGTGTGAATGTTGTAATTGGCCACCTTGATTTGCATTGAATGGCTTTCCAGCCTACTTCCTGCCTGAGGGAATCCTTTGTTGGGAGGTGTTAGCCAGCCCTGGTTGTTGCATGTCTGGAATTCCCATGCAACATGGACATACTGCCCAGAAAACTCACAGCAACCCAGTGATTCCAGCCATGAAAGCCTTCAACAACACATTGAATCCATAGATTGGGATATCTTCTTTCATGGCTAGGCCAATGTCATGCACTGAGATGTGTGTCAACAGTAACAAATCCCACTTCCCATTTAGGTTTGGGCATGGCTAATGGTAAAATACTACTGGATAGTTTGAACAACAAACCAGAAAACATTTGTTGCTTTTTTCCCCTTTTGTCAGCTAAGAATGCCCAATACTCCTTGGATCCCTGATCTGAATTCCTATATAGTCCAAAGAGGTGTATAGGTTCTCCTTTCTGCCAGCACATGCCTGCTCAAAACTAAAATGTCCTCTGAAGCCAACAGATTTTGAAATTGCAGCTCCTTTTTGAGCACTGTCGGTTGCTCTCAGAAATGAGGGAAATGGTTCCTTAACCATTCAATGGGATGGATGAACAACTATTTTGAAGTTCCTACTATGCTTTGGTTCAAGGGTGATTAATGGTATGGTGAAAAGGCCTCCAAATCCTTCTTTTATGGAAGTGGGATGTAGGATCTAAGCCAGGCCTGGGCAAAGTTGGGCCTTCCTCCAGGTGTTTTGGACTTCAACTCCCACAATTCCTAGCAGCCTCAGGCTGCTAGGAATTGTGGGAGTTGAAGTCCAAAACACCTGGAGGAAAGCCCAACTTTGCCCAGGTCTGATCTAAGCTGTCTAGCATGTGTGTTGTTTATAAATGGTGAGCTAGAGATTAATAGGAAGCCAGGTGTAGCTCTTTCCTGGTGTCTTTGTGGGATCATCTCATTCACTAATTGTTCTGGAATAGTACTTCAAGAAACCAGTGGAAGGCGGCCACCTTATGTCCTGCTGCCAGGTTCTATATTCTCAGGTATTGTCATACCTCTATTTTGTCTTCAAGTGGGCACCTGGAGAAACCAAACCACCTAACATTTAGGAGTAGAGGAATTTGACCCAGAGTCCCTAGGGTTTTATATTGCAAAGCCCAAGTACGTATTAAGAGGCAGACAAACCCAGTCAAGGCATATAATAGTATCTGTAGAAATCTGTAAAGTAAAACATAAAACTGTTATTTACTGTTGTACTCATGTGAATTACCGCTATCGGGGATTATACTTAGTTTCAAGTTCTCACACACGAGGCAGGCCTCAGTAGGTGCTGGAAACACTAGTAGAGCTGGTGGGTGTTGCTTCCTTAGTTGTAGTTGCTGTGAGTTTTCCAGTTGTATGGCCATGTTCCAGAAGCATTCTCTCCTAACGTTTCACCCACATCTATGACAGACAGCCTCAGAGGTTGTGAGGTATATAATATATTGGAAACAAGGCAAGTACGGTTTATATATCTATGGAACGTCCACGGTGGGAGAAAGAACTCTTGTCTGCTTGAGGCAAGTGTGAATGTTGCAGTTGGTCACCTTGACTAGCATTGAATGGCCTTACAGCTTCAAAGCCTGACTGCCTTCTGCCTGGGCTTTATATATCTTCTCAGAAGTTGTGAGGATTCTTTCCAGGCAGGAAGCAGCCATGCTTTGAAGCTGCAAGACTATTCAATGCTAATCAAGGTGATTAATTGTAATATTCACACTTTCCCCAATCAGACAAGAGTTCTTTCTCCCATCCCAAACATTTCACAGACATGTCCTAGTTTCCAACAGACCTCACAACCTCTGAGGGTGCCTGCCATAGATGTGGGTGAAACATCAGGAGAGAATGCTTCTGGAACATGGCCATACAGCCCAGAAAACTCACAGCAACGCAGTGAGTTCAGCCATGAAAGCCTTCAACAACACATTGTTTATGTAGTGTTGAGTTATGCAGTCTGTTCCACCTCATAGGCATCTGAGTGGAAGAAGAGTAGATAAGAAATAATCTGCTCTTTTCAGCTTCATATGTCTTTCTCCAAGCTTCTCTCCCCATGTGTACAAAGGAAGATACAAAACTATATGAGTTGAAGAAAAGACTTGGGGAACATATTTTACCTGGATTAAATAACTATTTCTAATTCAGATACAGTCTGTCTTAATTTGCTCTTGAGGGTTGTTTTTTTTAAGGCTTATGGCCCTTCCAAACAGCCATATAACCCAGAATATCAAGGCAGAAAATGCAAGCTAGCTGGCATTGCCCCCCCCCAAATGTGTGATGGGAAGTTGCTGCTAAATGTGAAAGAAATAAGGTTGAACACTGTGAAAGCCATCCACTACATGGCTACCAGCCTCCTCCCAGTAGACTCAAATCAAGGAAAAGCTTTATGAGAACTACCACTCTTTTTGGCGTTCCCCCAGCAACAGCAAGGGTGTCCCTCTGGGCAGCTAAACCAGGAAATCCCAACTGGATGGTCCCCCGTGAGGGTCTTCCTCCAGGGGCAAACCAAGAATGGGCAACCTGGAAGTCCCTGAATAGACTCAGAAGCGGAGTGGGCAGATCAAAAGACAACCTGGCAAAATGGCACTATCTAAAAGAATCCCACACCTTGTGTGACTGTGGAGCAGAACAGAAATCTCCATCTGTATGCTTGTCCACTGTGCCCTGCCTCATGTACAGAGGAGGAATTGTTGGAGGCAATGCCCTTGCTGTTGCCCATTTTTGATCAAAAGATATTTAGCCACCTGCGCGCCTTCTATTTTTATCAGTTGTATACTAATTTATGCAATGCTTTTGATATGAAATAAATAAATAAGGCAGAAAATCCCACATTATTAGAGTATGGACTCAGATAACCCAGATCAAAGCAGATATAGTGGAATTTTCTGCCTTGATAATCTGTGATATAGGTCTATGTGAAAGGACCCTTGGTCCACACTGCTATATATCCCAGTTCAAAGCAGAAAATGTGGGATTTTATTCAGCTGTGTGGAAGGGGCCATCGTGGGCCTTGATGGTATACTAGTACTCCAGTTTACCCTCCTCCTAGTACTGAGAAATTAGAGAATATATGTTTAGGATTATTTCACTAGAATAACTTCTTTTATTTTATGGGAGTGTGTGGTTTTTGCCTTTGCATTGTTTGGATGTGTGCTCATACTTTGTCACCTATTTTGCATTCCTTCTTTGAAAATTGGTTTCCTGGCCTTGAAGAGGCACACTAAGTGTTTCAGATGGAAGGGCCTCTATGTGCTTTGGACTAGGCCCAAGGTTTGCACTGCTTCTCTGATCTGCTTCTTCATGGGAAAAACAGGAGTGTTGTTGGACTTCATATTGATTTTCATGCCATGTTTATGTGAATAATTCTTAGAAGTAGGCTCCCCTGATTTATAACATAGATGTATATAGTATTGATCCACAAGGCTGTA